GCTGACCGGCCCAGCAGAAGGCCGGTGAGGAGGAAATGGGGAAAGTAGGCAGGGTGTTTTTAGAAGGTCACAGCAAGCAAGCAAGGCAAAATCAGCGAAGGCAACTAGGGTCTCTCAAGTCACTCACGGTCTCTCCCAAGACAAACCAGCGGTACACATTGGCCCGGCAGAAGTTCTATGATTTCCTGGGCCGCAATCAGCTTAGCCATGGGCTGCTGAGTGAATACATCGAATTCCTGTGGACGGAGGGCGAGGGCCGAGGGCTGGCCTCGGACACTGTAGGCGGGCTACAGAACGCCGATCCGAAGCTCAAGGGACAGCTTCCAGCTACTTGGAGGCTTTTGAAAACATGGCACACCAATGAGATTCCGAACAGGGCCCCGCCCCTAACTGAGACAGCAGTGCATGCCATGGTCGGCTGGAGCTTTTTTCATGGGCATTATGGATTCGGCGTTTCACTCGTGCTAGCCTTCTATGGCATGCTGCGCACAGGCGAAGTGACGGAAGTTCGGAATAGCCACATTTTTATGACATCAGCTAGTTCTCCTGCTGTGGTGAGCTTAGGCCTTGCGAAAGGAGGGAAACGGGTAGGTGCAGCAGAGTCAATCACCATCACGGTGGATGTGGCCTTAAAGTGGCTGTGGCAGTGGAAGTCACAGACCGCGCCTGCAGCGAAGTTTGTCAATTCAGTGTCTACTTGGAGGACACTTTTTAAGACATGCATAATGGCTGCATTGGAAATTTTGCTTTTTGAGTTCAGACCCTACTCCCTGCGTCGAGGAGGGGCGACCTTTTGGTTCGCCAAACACTGGTCCCTGGATAAGCTTTTAATTTCCGGGCGTTGGCAGGCTGCTAAAACCGCCCGTATTTACATTAACGAGGGCATGGCGGTACTAGCTGACTTAAAGCTTGCCTCAAAGGGTTTAACCCCGTTCGTCCGTGTGTTTCACAATCACCGTTTTCCACAACACTTGAACTCGCGCTCGCGCGCAAGAAAAGGGGGGCGTGGAAGGAAGTGTTTTTGCCAAGTTTTTGCCCACAAAAGCAAAAACCTGGCCTAGGGCTCTCGGCTTGGCGAGAGGCCCTAGGAAGGTTAAGGGGGGTGGTTTCCGATTCTCCAGGCTTGGCAGGGGTGAGGAAAACTGAGCTCCTAGTGCCTTGGACAGGCACGACGATTAAACGATGAAACTGATCTGAGGGCGATCAGACTTTGTGTGACCGTGCTTTTAACCTTTTTTATGATAAACTGCGGAGCGCCGTTAAAAAAGAGCGGGTTCTTGAGTTATAATATATATATATGTTGTCATCAATTGGGAAAACTGCTTCTTGGAATGACTGGAATGAGTGTAGGGTATTGAATAATAACCAATAATACCGGCTAGCTGATGGATGTTTTCGTCGGTCTTTGCTGGCTTGGAGGCTTAGCACCAAGCTTATCCTGGTGCTTGGGCACACGCAATGTAGTGCACTGACGGGGGCGGCGGAAGCATACCTCAAAAGCCAGGACACCGTCGTTTACGACGAGTCGCACACGTTTTGGATGATTTGGGAGAATGGTCAGACTGGAGAATGGCCAGTAACCCGACTATCTCGGTTTTGGTCTTGTTTGACCTACCCTGCCCATCCCTGCACGGCACGTCTGGCGCCAGGACGGAGGCGAAGACGGCCTCAGCTCCGCCTCTTCGGTGTCTACAGCGTTGGAAGGCCTACTGACCTCCTTGTCCTCCGTCTCGAAGCGGACGGCCGACACCATGAGCGTGGAGGTGCGGACGGCACCGAGGGGCCGGTGGATGGAATGTATTGGTGGTTCCAAACGCACTTTTGGCTGCACGAGGCCATATCAAAGACATTGAAGGACATACATATATACTCATATATACTGTATCTATGTAGTCTATGGCATGATACTAAACATCTGTATGGTATGAATGTCTACTATAGTATATTTAGTTACTGTTATCTATATTCCTTCATACTATATACTAGTCTATTTGGTTATGATTTATACATATGCACAGTAAGATCATCGGACCCCATCCCTTCAAGGATCGAAACGAAACTCGGACAAGGGATATATCCAAACAAACCTTTCCGTCCTTCATTGGGCGCCCGGCAGATACAGCGAGACTGTCGCAATTTGCCAATCATGCAGTTGTTCTAAGTGGACGAAGGTCGCAAACCAAGGCAAATCCGACCGTTTTTGCTCTCCGCAACACAGAAGTCTATCATGCGCTATCATGCCGACAGTTGACAGTGGCATCGATTCCACTGACTGTTGCCCGTCCGTTGACACGGAGTTAACACGGAGCATGCGATGTTGGCACGGATTGTGACGGAGCGTGCGTATCGATCGCGATCGCATCAGTGGCATCTCACGGCCCGCTCCCGGGAAGTTCACTCCAACTCACTAACATGGATGTTGATGGCATGGTTTGTCGGAAGACCACGTACCTCTAAGGAACAGGGGATGCCTTCCACCTCCACTTCACTGTGTGAATGATTCCGGTTTAAATGAATCTTAATGTCAAGCTTTTCAGGTCCTTGACGCTGCTGTGTTTGGTAATGCGGATGAATTTGGACTCTGGAAAAATGGTTCTCAGAAGTATAGCTTAGACCATACAGATGGATCAGAAATATAGGACACATTTCGGCCGGAACCTTGTGGCCTTGGTTCCACAAAAACAGAATATGGGATGACAAACATGTCCAAAGTCTTGGACGACCACGACCCTTGGATTTCTCCGTTCGCCTCAAAGTTCGTTGATTTCAACAATGTTCAACCCCTAGAAAAGCCGTCCTTTGCCGCCTGTAACCTGTACCACAAGGGATGTATGCGGATACTAGTATCTCCGGTCCGGATCTGAAGATACGTTTACGTGCTGCACCATCCTGCAGTCCGATGTATTGGATTAATTACTTGGGCCGCAACCTGTATGTAGTGATACAGTTAGTTAGTGATATAGGTCACTTAGTGAACGTTGTATTCACCTGTATATATATAACTATATATATATATTCGCTAGTTATAGTTAGTTAGTGAATGTCGTTAGTGATATAAGTGATCACTGATCACAGATCACCGTTTTAGTAGTACCTTCAGTATGTGATATTCACGATGCATTTGGGCTATCCTTGGCTATCCCAATTTCCGGTCACAAACCACGAGCCCAGACCACGAGCGGGTAACCACCTTGCAACCATCCATTGCTTTCGCAATGGAGAAATCACCCACTTGCCCCCCACTGCTTCTGGAGCCTCCGACCAGGCAGAGCTGAAGCAGCTGGTGGCTCACTCGGTGAGAGTCAACGTCTTCCACTCGATTGATTTCATGCTGACGCCCAGCCACACCGGAAGCAAGTTGGGATGATTCCGAGACTCAAAAGGGGCCCATGGGACTTGAACTTGAATGAATATAAAACAAAAAGTCTGTACTAAAGCGAAGCATCCCAACTTGCGTGAACCCTTGCGCAGATTGTCATGTTTGTTGATGTTTCTTTTTCGGATCTCTGATTCTCGCAGCTTCTATTTCCAGCTCCTGAGATGGCAGAGTCAGGAAATATAGCATGCCTATTCGCGAGCTCGTGAAAAATGGCGGGCTCGAGATTCACGGAGGCGCGCTGAGCTTTTATCCCAACAGTGTGAAAACACAACACGTTTGTCACGTATGCACACCCGTGCACAGCTGAAAAAGGAAGTAACTGAAGTGTCGTTGAAATGGTTGTGTTGGAGAATACCAAAAGACCCTCGGGTAAGAGCCATCACATTAGTATTAAATTGTATTAAACTATAATAGAGTAACGCCCATGGTTCGGGGGTCGCCTTGCACCCCAAAAATGGAGATTCACTCCCAAGATCTCCCAAGAAAATCATGTCACCAGCGTGCGGTTTTCCCCCTTTAAGCCTTCTGGATCACCTGGACCGTTCTGTCACGTCCTGTGGCCTTTTTCAAGAGGATCACCTGGCCCGCAAAGTTGGCCACGGTGGAGGATCTGATTTCGGGGAGTTAGGCGATGTGTGACCGGCGATGAGATGGGAGTTCTGTCCCATCTCTGTGACTTTTTCTTCTTTTTTCTGTCATGTACAGACGCATCCAGGTTCTGTCAGACCTATACAGATCAGACAGACCAGAAACTCGCAAAGAACCGGCATCAAGCCGCTGTGCTTTTTGCGAGACCGCGCCGGTCTCGCCAGGCATCTATCGCTTGGAGACGGGCCGTGTGGACTTCTTGGGGCCTTCGCCCAACCAGGCGAAGCTGCTCTCCAGTGAGCTTCATCTACCGCCCTCCATGGCGGTCTTGCCGATCCGGACCTCCTTCGATGAACCGCTGCATCCGAACATGCCGCATGTCTCGGTGGTTGGGAGAGACAGCTGGGGGGGGGGCGGTTGGAGCTGTTGGAGCGTGAGCTGGGTGTCCGACTTGCGGCCGTCCTTTCACGTGCCTCACTCCTGGGTGTTGTTTTTGGTGTTTTTTTGAATTATTGGTACAACAGTGTATGGGTTTACTATTATGGATTGCTGTGTTGGTACAACAGTGTATGGGTTTACTATTATGGATTGCTGTGTTCCAGCACCACCTGTGAGTTATTGGAAGGAACATGCATAGTCAGGGGTGTCTATAAACCATCCTTTCCATGGTGCTGGTTCACAGGAGTTCGCCAAAATGTCGCTGGGTGATGAGGAGGCACCCGGCGGTGAATTCCATCACTGATAGTTGGTGGACGACAGTAACCCTACAGCGAATGTCCACGGTCCACGCACTTTGACACCCCCACTGTTACAGAAAACTCTTCCTTCGTAGCGGAAGACTGGCGTGTGATTGAAGCCTTAAAAAGGTTTGCATTGCAGAGTAGATATGTTGCATGCAAATAAATACATCAAACAGAGATCTTCGCAAGAAACTTTTTTGCTTATTCATTCTTTGTGTGTTTCTCCTGTCTTTTTCCAGCGCTCTAAACTAAACTTTGAACTGAACTTCTGTAACTCACTCAGTCCTTCTGTTGGGAGTCCAACTGTATGCTTCTCCATTTCAGATACAGGATGCCCTGCCCTTCGGGGTTTGCAGGTGGTGCGATGCTTAATTATGCTTGTATAGCACTGACAGGGTGATTTACGTGGTGCGGCTGGGGCTCGCGTGTGTCACCAACTGCACTTTCTTGCGTCACCCAACCAGAACACGAGTGCATATCCTGAAAATTGATGCAATTACGGTTGCCAGCGGTTTTGGAGTCTAAGCGATGGGTCGTCGAAGCGGAGAAAGGTTGCATCTCGCAAGCTTCCGACAGAGATCAAAGACTGAAGACTTTTGAGGTCCTTGAAACTCTTGAAGGAGGGCAATGAGCGATATGTTTATGGCCATGCCACTGCCAAGGTCAGTCGCTTGACCCTAGGAGGGTGGAGGGTGGGAGAGGGTATTCGGAGTGGTACTCGGATATTTTTCGGAGGTTTCTTCTCGCATGCGAAGCGTGTTTGGGAGACAAATTTGGGGTAGATGATCCCATAGTTTGGGGCGTCAAATCAGTGGGACTTTCACAATTGTTTCCACAGACTACACGCATAGACTGACCGGTTTCCCCCTTTGTTCCGTCCGTGGAGAATGACTCTCGTGCGATGGCGCGGGTGTCCACACCGTCTGATTTCCAGAAACATCTGATGAAGACGATGGGACTTGTCATGCTTCGCCGGGTGGTGCACACCAAGTGGTCATTTCAATCAACCAAGTGTTTTCAAGTGAAGATGGACTATGATGGGCTAATGGACTTGAAACGTAGATTTGTGGCTTTGATTCTTTGCTTGGAATAGTGAACCGGAGGTTCACCAACTGACCTGCAGGGTGCCATTCTGACACCGCCCCACCAACTCCCACAGTCTTCGCACTCCAACGGCCTGCAGTCCCACCTGTGGTACCATCGAGGCAACTGCGTGCGGAGGGCTTTGGCCGAGGACGGGCAAGCGCCTCACTGCGCCATCATCGGCTGCGCGGACTCCCGGGCACCTTTGGAGGCTATCTTCGATGCCATGCCTGGAGACATCTTCGCACTCCGGAATGCTGGGAACACGTGCACCCACTCGGAGGCTTCGTCGAAATGAAGAGGGGAGGGCGGGGAGGGGCTAAGGCTTTGGTTGTCCGAACGTCCGAAAGGTTTCCTCCGCTTGTGGTGGTATGTGTTGGTGATTGGAGGTGTTATTCTCTGCACTCTGTCCAGGGAAATTGCACGGGATAATAGAAACATTACAGACTTCATTGAGGTCTTGTTTGGGACTTCACTGGCTCACCGAGAGTCCTTATGACGCGCGACGCAAGAGGTTTGACACCGAATCAATTTTCTCAAGTTTTCTCCGTTTGATCGTCAAGCATAGGAGTTGAAGATCATCACTCCACTTCTGAGACCTCTTGGCCCAAGACCAGACTAACAAGAAGGGGACCAAAGAATGATGAGTATCATGTAAAAAGGCTCGGATTTGGCAAAACGAGCAGTACCAAGAGCTTTTGTGGCATTTGTACTGAGTTCTAATTCAAGGACTAATATAATTTATATAGTCTATTAAGGACCAGGACCATAGTTTCTTCTCGTGCTTTGATTTGAAACACATTGCATGCATGGTTTGGAAATCGTAATCCCAACCTACTGCTGATGAACAAGAACAAGTACTTAGGTTTTCATACTTTGTTTTACAAAATCAAAGCGGGGCTGGTGGTACCAATCCCTTCTGCCTCGACTCCTTCACACTACATGGTGCAGGAGGGGTAAGCGCCCTTTGACAAAAGACTTTGCTCCTGGTGACCTACAGTTTTGTAATGTTTTGTTTATGCTGGCAAGAAATGAAATTCTCACGATCGTCTGATGCGGAGAGTTGAAGTCCTGTCCAGAAACCCACTGTTCTTCACCATTCAGGAAGGGAGCATGCTGGGAAGCCTCGAGTTCTGCACGAGCAGCTTGGGCACCCAGCTGATTCTGGTCCTGGGACACACGCAGTGTACAGCGGTGCGGGGTGCCACCAAGATGTTCTTGGAGTCTGGAGGCCTCGCCGTCTGCCGGCGCGAGTGGGTACGTCGAGCGGGTACGCGGTGGTACGCACCGCTCGGCGCGTGAGTCGGGCTGTGGAGGCTCATGGAGGTGTCTTGGAGGTGTGTTTGGAGGTTTTTGGAGGGTCATACAACGTGGGTGGGTGGGCAGTGCTCGATGGTCGCCTTGGAGTGACATTGGGTGATGGGCAGAGGGACATGGAGCAGATGGGGTTGGAAACACAGGTGGTTGAGCACCTTCAGTACACTCCATGTAATGGGTGAAGGGCAAGTTTTGACCATAGTTCGACCAAGAGGTCAAGAGCCTGCCTTCAACTTATATGAAGTAGCTCCCAGGCAATCCACTTCAGGTGGTTTTGGACGGGGAGTGGAGCTTTTGAGCTTGTCCAGCTAATTGGACGAATTCAAGTGAGTGAGACCTTAGCTGCTTAGCTGCACCCCAATACCACACTCCAAGGATACACGATCCAATACCACACACGCCAAACGCTCGTACTGCAGGGCCCTGTTTTTTCCCGGTCGTTTCATGCGGTTTCTTCGGAAGCGGTCGCGGGGAAGAGGCCCAGAGCTCACCGAGAACAAGGCGTGGGACGCTTTGTTGGCTGGGCTTAGCATCGTGGCGAAACAGGCAGCCACTGAGCTGGGTGCCTATGCCAATGAGGAGGCCATCATCGCTCGCGCAACGAAGCACCGTGGCAAAAGGAGATGGGCATGAGATGGCCATATATGGGCGATCGGATATGGTTGGGGGAGGTGAAAGATGAGTGGATGGGAGGTGATTGCAAAGCTGCTTGGTGGACTGTGGACCATGTCGTTTTCAGAGGGAACTGGTTTGATCTTTCAAGATCATAGTATACTAATATGGAATTTAAGCATGTTTAAACATATTTAAACATCCAGAATGTGATCAACATACTTCATCCTTTCGGACCAGGTCAAAACGGACTGAAGGGATTCTTCAACTAAAGCCCTATCACTTTCGGCAGCGGTGATGCAACAGTCTGCCAAGAGTAAGAGCATAACGACGGTGACAGGAATGACATGGAGCAACGAGAGCCTTTGCCTAGCTTTGCCGGTGAACCTTTGCGACACGTTTCGGTTCCGACGTGCTTGCACGACACACACACACACACAGAGTTGTTATTTCCCACCTGTCAGGTAAAGGTTGTTAGATTTTTACAGATAGCCTCATAGCCTCCTTCCTTCCTTCCTTCCTTCCTTCCTTCCTTCCTTCCTTCGCTCCGGACCTCAACACAGCAAGCGCCTAGTCGCAGTGGGTACTACCGGACCTTAACAGCAAGCGCCAGATCGCGGTGGGCAGTCTTGGACAAAAGCAACCACCACGACCACAGAACACAAGCACAAAACACAGCCCACAAACACACAACCACAAGCACACAAGTACAAGCAAACAATCACAAAGCACACAATCACAAGCACACAGCCACAAACACACAACCACAAGCACACAACCACAAACACATAAACCACAAGCACAAGCACAAACACACAATCACAAACACACAGCCACAAACACACACAATCACAAGCACACAGCCATAAGCGCACAGTTACAGACACACAGCCACAAACACACAATCACAAACACACAATCACAAAACACACAATCACAAACACACAGCCACAAACACACAACCACAAGCACATAAGCCTTAAGCCACAAGCACAGCCACAAACTCAATATCACAGACACACCATCACAAACACACAGTCACAAAAGCACAACCACAAACACAACCAAAAGCACGTTGGTAACAAACTCATATAGCACGCCCGCCACCACCGCCACCACCACCTTAACACACAGCACAACACAACAATATAATTTCCGTGCATTTTGCATGGCAGGTGGTCACAGGGCCACACTTTGGATAGAATGCCAGCTGTAAACCCTGGCCACACCCCGACAAACCCGAGGACCCACCAGCAAAATCAAGAACCACAAAGCCCCCCACCATGGCAACATGCACCTCGCCATGGTATGAAAAGAGCTGACGACGCTCCACATCCACTTCAATGTAACAAACCACCGAACCCACCATGTACCGCTGGGGCATTGCCTCTGCGGCGTTCCGCTCCTTTTTTTGAAGCGGCAATGTGGGGTCAACAGGTGGTGCGATTTTGTTGGTGCACTGAAGGTGGCTTTTGGTACTCGGCCTTCACATAAGTGTCAAGCTGGCTTATAACACAGGTGGTACAATTCTCGTTCCACTGGGGGCCACCTGCAACTATGGGTGCTTCACCTTTCAATCTGTTGTGTTCTGTCGCGCGGACGTCCGGTCCGACGATTCACGTGGAGAAAAGTGAGGCTGAACATCTACAGGTCTATCAATTTCCTTCTCCAATACAGCAACTTGGCCTTCTTCCTTTGGAGATCATGGCAGATCTGATTTGTTCTTTTTGTTCTGAACGATCTCCCGTCATGGCTCAACACCGGGGCCTGGCACGTCCATCGCCCACGTGGCGCCAAATCTGGACATCTTGGGGGGTCTGATTTGGTGCAGTTCTGTTTTTTGGGATGAATCAAGCGCCATGATCCTGATGGTTTGTCTAGGATTTTTTGGATGCCATGTTGGGGATGGTTTGAATCACCAACCAGTTCAGGCATGTTTGATGTTCAGACAGTTGTTGGCAGATGACAGATGTTGGAGAAAGGACAGTATGTATTTCAAGTGGCCGCCAAACTCAACCCACATGGGAGCACATTCGGACAACTTTGTGTCAGCCCATGATATCCCTTTATATATATATACATATCTATAACTGTGTTTTAGTGTTATCAGAGCCAAACAAGTGTGTGTGTGTGTGTTGCCATTTATATACGGCTCAAGTTTGGTTGTACCGTAGTGCCTCGTTCTTAAGTCGTCACTGGCACAACAATCTTAATCAAGTCCACTGCACCCAAAACACCCCGCGGCTCGTCGGAGTCGGGTCCGTCCCGTTCGATGGCCGAGACGATCGCACCGAGGCGGCATCATCCGTGAAAAGGTGGAGATGGGTGAATTGGAGATCCAGGGAGGAATTTATGACCTGGAAACCGGGCAGGTACATTTCCTAGGCCGAAGTCCACTACAAAATGAGATTCTGAGGTCAGATCTCGCGTTGGAGAAGTTGGCCGGGTGTTGAATCTGATTAATATTTAACAGCACCTCTGAAAGAGGTTCTTTGAATATCTTCGAATGGGCGATTTTCCTTTGTGACTTTTCACCCGATATTTTATAGTGCCGGAAGTTTGTACAGCCATTAGTTTGTGTTGTTGCCACGGGGGCTTGTCAGACCATCTGATCTTTCCCTTCACAAGAGCAACATCTGGCGAAACGCCAGAGACCTTCGGACCATGTCTCTAGAAATGGTGCGGCGCCATACCAATGCTTGCATTTTTGCAATTCTTTGCGACCGGGAGGTGTAGATGGTTTTCATTATACTAATTTCCTAGAAGTCTACATACTAGTTGATATGATCTGATATGACATAACATGACATGATAATGACAATTAATGTTGGATCCTAATTAACATGAACACCCCCCTAGCAAACAATATAGCACCGCCACAAAAACAATTATTTTATTATCATTATTATTATTATTAGTAGTAGTAGTAGCAGCAGCAGTGTAGTAGCAGTAGTAGCAGCAGCAACAGTGGTAGGTAGTCGTTCTAGTTAAGCAAGGGTTTTGAAGGGCAACAATAGCAAAAGAGCAGACAAATCAAGAACTCTGTTAACAAGCACCCTGGATGAACACACTTATTCCGTCCCATCAAACTAATCAGTGTGTGTGTGTGTGTGTGAATAATTTGGCGAATACTTTTTGTTATTCCGTACCATTATACTAATTGGGATGCAACATTATTATGATATAGTACGATGTGATATGCAGTGATGTTCATGAAACGAACTCCAAAGACACCAAGGAAACTCACGGAAGTTCCCTGGTTTCACGGGTCCCTGAACGACCAACGCTTGACCAATCTGGAGTGGTTTTCTTTCAAATAAAGAGAAGGAAATTTCGTTCAACACTAAAAGACTTGGCCAGTGGAAGAGCTGGCTGGTGGGCGTTGTCATGCGTTGTCTCCTCCCGTCATTTGAGGCTTTGTACGCCCAGAAACCCGCATGGCTCTATGTGGGGGCCCTGGCCGGTGCGGATATCTATGTTCACGGTCAACTAGTCCCACAGTCCCAACACTTGGTTTCTCAACGCGGCAGTGGGTCAGAACCAGGATGCCTTGATTGACCTACCTGGTGGACCAGGGCCTCAGACCTATGTATAGTAATTAGATGTAATTAGTCCTATGCAATTTTCCTAACCATTTTCCTGGGCCAATCAGTTCCTGCTTGTAGCCGTTCCCATCATGTCGTCCCCACAACGTGCAGAATTTCCATTGTCCACGCATTCTTGCGCTCCAACCGTTGGCTGCTCCTCTTCGCCTCGTCGCCTTTTGGATGGACTATCCCGAAGAGTGTGAACACCCCCCAAACCTACGTTTTCGGAGTCAACATCTGGTCCTAAAGTAACTTCTAACAAGATGATGAGAACATTCTCCGCGCCAGAAAGTCGCGCCATCCTTCCTTCATGGGAATGGCGAGCGACGAAACCTTACAAAATATCCAACCCTGGCAGTTATGCCTCAGGAGCCCAAAGACGGATTATTTTCTTCAGGGACACCATATTATTTTCTCTTGTAATGTTGTGTGTGGTTTAGGTACAGAAAGGTACCACTTTCCACTGGTCAGCACAAAGAAATCTCCTTCGGATCAATGCTCCTGCCTCTTCGTGTTCACCGATGACTCTGCTCGAATCAAAAATAAGTTTCATCACACTGTGATCGAGTCGTCTCGTGGATATCATATATAATAGAATAACTATATAAACATATTATATACAAAATGAGTCTTTCATGTGTGTGTGTTCCTTTGCAGTGCTGATCCTGAACACGAAGGTGGCTGAAGATGTGGCTGCAGAAGCGGAATTACCTTACCTGTTCACTCCTTTTGCATCGATCATGCATTTTATGTCCGCTGCCTCCAGGATTCGTGAAGCTCCGCCATTGCGCTCTGCACGCGGAGAAGCTCCATCTGCACGTGGAGAAGCTCCAGATGACATGCCACGTCATCCCGCCCAACTTGTCCAATTGAGCTTCCTCAGGTGGGTGTGTATTTATAGAATAGAAACCTGCTGGCCCAATCGGTTTTAGTCTATTTCCTTCTTAACTGGGGGTCGTTGCCTGGGGGGGTCTCCCTATTTGAGCTACACTGCTACACTCTTCTCAAGCTCTTTGCCCCCTTGGCTTTTCTGCGGATCACTGGACCCCCCACCAGCCCACTACGACCCGTGATCTACAGCCAGGACACCCAGACAGGATGGTCCAGGTAGCCAGTGATGGACATGGAAAACAATCGTACTTGTACTGATGACCTGCAATGCCGTTTCATATCAAAAACAAGGATAATCGTTCTTGCCAGTGGTCAAACATAACACTTGTTGATCCTCTGCAACGCATGTACTGGAAAAAACGGTTTCTATTTGATGCTTCAATCTAATTGGCGACCGAAGGACCGCCGACGTCCGTTACGCCTCCCAGGCGACGGACCGCCGGTCCCTGTGGGAGGACGACCGACGGTCCCTGCGGGACGTGAGGAAGAGGCTTGGCGCTTGTATCTTCAAGGGTTGCCTGGAAACTCAGGAGGAATGGGAGAAGTCGCTAAATACAAACATGATACGACGAAGCTAGCAGTTATGACTGAAACGGACTGGTGGGGTTTGGTAATGTTTGGTATTTGGATATATATATATATATTGGATCAAGATCTTGGTAAGAAACTGCAGTGTTCCAGCATGCTTTGTAGGGGATGATTCAGCTATTGACCTGGTGGAAGTGGACGTCCTGGCCCCTGGAAAGACCCTGAAATCCGAATACCAAGGCCAGAGGATGCCATCCACTTATATCCACTTCCATTTTTGTTGACAGATCTACGGTACTCTCCCGCAGACTAACATGGAACCCGAGAATTCTCTGGTGGAAGACCATTTCCCTCTAGAACCCAGTGGTTTTGGGCTTCCATGTTAATTTGCAGGGGAGTATCCATTTCATCCTTTTTCATCCGTGTGGTGTCCTGTGTGACTTCGACTTCTTTGGAGCATCGAAGACCGAGGCCTGCTGTGACGCCCCGATGCTCCCCTTTGTGGCTTAGCGTCACACAGAGGGTACGGTCATTTATGGTCGTCATTCGCTGTTGAGATTGGGTGGAAAATGCGTGAACCTTTGATTGACAGCAGAACTCCTTGTACTAGTAGCGGCCACAGAGAGAGAGAGAGAGAGCGAGAGAGAGAGAGAGAGAGCGAGAGAGAGAGAGAGAGATGTAAGCTGTTTAGCACACTGATGTACAATTCTTGTCAATTATTCTTGCGAACATATGGATGACTGCTATTGTGACTACTGTAGACACCAGTATTTACCCGATTCCACATTTGTAATCAACCACCCATCCGTGGTGGGCTTTGTATTCATCTTGTCACAATACTGTCTTTGTTTTGCTTCCAACATCTTCCAAACGCATTCTGCATGGGGGACTCTCGCAGCGGAAAACGTTCCACGAAGACGGGGGATCAGCGGTCTCGGGGGATCGTCTGGAATCTCGGCCGTTTTCAAGCAGACTTTCGGCCACGCGGGACCAGCGCGTGTGCGTTTGACAGTGTTTCCTGCAGAAGGCCATTTTTAGACTTCTGGGTATTGGCAAATTCAAAGTACAAGCTCCCACAATACCAAAAGTCCCCACACCACAATACCAAACATACAGTACAAGTCTTGTGTAGAAAAGTCTTGGTTCCCTTCTGGGGGTCAGGAGGACATAGTAAAATATACAAAACATTACACAACTAAACATACCAAGCATACCAATCCTGTATAGAAAAACCTTGGCTCCTCCTGATAGACGACTTTCTTTAAACGTGTCCAATGGGTCCTGCTCTAACTTTAAACGATTCCTGACTTTTTAATAGTGTCCTCTATACAAGGCTCCTCCTTGTCTCTTTGGAAGAACCTTCAATACCTTGCTTCATCTGTCTATATATTTATATGTCTTCCAAAACATCCCTTTCAAGGCATTCACATTGGCCTGTTATCGCAAGAAGCCAACGTCCTCATTGTTTCATGACATACTATGCTCTCAAAATGGTCTCTTTCGCTTCTTTGCCTTCCCCACATCCACTGTGCTTAAGCATACAACATGGTGGAAAATGCTCGCTCACGGCGCCGGCCGAACGAACGAAAGCACCGGACGGAGGCTCACGGCGCGGCACGAGACGCACGGCTCGGGTGCCGAGAGCGGGCGCAGACGGGCGCTTCTTCGCCCGGTTTCTTTCTTTTGAGGATTTGGATGGATTTGGTATGATTTGGTGTGCGACCTTTAAATGAGCAGGTGGCACTTCAATGAGATAGTCAGACTGTAAGCTCTGGGGATTGGATTTTTGGTGCCGGTACGTGTCCACTTGGCCCGGAAAAGAGGCTTCCAGACCTTACACTTCTCTTGATAACGTGATGTCCCCAGATCTGAAAAAACCTCGTGACCCGGTTCATCTTCGGATGACACCAGTCTTCGAACAGCACCCAAAACAGAAGATCCTCTCTCCTGTGGAGCGGTCACACGAGGTTGAAAGGGAGAATCCGATAGACACATCCTTCAAAACTTGTAAGCATCAGTCTATTGGAGGTGTTGTGGCAAGGCATGCTTGCTTGACTTGTGATCATCTCTGCCGATACAATTCGAACCCAGCTTTTGATGCACTGGCACAGGGTGGAGGCAGGGTCCAAGGGATCTATGCCCAGCAAGAAGCCACAAGAGGTTGCTGTTTCAGATTCCAACCGTTTAGGCCAGCTACAGCAAGAAAAAATATTATTGTTTCAGAATAGGGAGACCCCTGTTTGGCCCCCCTGGAAGAAGGAAAGTAGACTCAAAGGATACGTTCAACAAATTTTCAAGACTGGCATTCAGCTGTGTGATGGATTTAATTCCGGGTATTCTGGCATTCTGTTCTTCGACTCCCAAGCAGGTTTGAGCCATTTGGCCGCATGTACCCCACGGAGCTCGATGAGCGCACGAGGCAAAGGTGATTGAAGCATATGTTTTTG